GTGACCCGGGTGTCGAAGCCCAGGCGTTGCACCACCAGCTGTGGGGAAGAGGGGACACCACGTTGGGGACCCGCCAGTGTCCGTGGGTGCCAGGGTGGTGCCGGGGCAGTCCCTTACATCCTTCACGTAGTTGGAGGAGATGGGTTTGCCACTGCGGTCGATGGCGCCCTCGGCGATGATGATGATGTTGAGCCGCGAGCCCCGGCTGCGTGTCTGCCACGAGGGGAAGACAAACGGCCACCACGGCTCAGCTGTGTGTGAGCACCTGCCCTCCCCTTCCTGCCCTCTGTGCTGCCCCAGGGCTGGCTCAGGTCACGGGCAGCTGAGCCCCCAAGCCAGCGCTGCCCCTGGCACGCGAGGGCTGGATTTGCGCTTGGCTGAGTGCCCCGGCTCACAGGGACAATGGTGGCAGCTCCTGAAGCTTCACAGGGGCCGGGCACGGCTGCAGGGCTCAGCCCGGGCCCCCACGGGGACTCCCTGGGGGGAACAGGGCATGGATGGGGTGGGATGGCAGGAATCCCCCCTCACCTCCCCGAGCCTCTCGCACATGAGGTCCTCCCAGCCATCCTCTGGAGGGGATTCAGGGATGAAGAGCCAGTCAGCGCCTGAGGCCAGGCCGGACACCAGCGCCAGGTACCTGGGGGGACACGGAGGTGGCAGCACTGGGCCCAAAATGTGGCATCCCATCCCATCCCACCCCACCAATGGTTTCCCCGCCCACAGGGACTTACCCGCAGTGGCGACCCATCACCTCCAGCACGAACGTCCGCTGGTGGCTGCAAGGACACGGGTGGGAAGAGAAGGAGGTGGGTGGGTGAATTGCATTGAATGCAATGGCCAGGGCGCTGCAGCCCCCAGCCCCCCGCCCCCCTCACCTCTGTGCCGTGGTGGTGATGGCGTCCACGACCTCCATGATGCGGTGCAGCGCCGAGTCGGTGCCGATGGTCATGTCGGTGCCGCAGAAGTCATTGTCGATGGAGCCCACCAGCCCCACGATGTTCAGGTGGCAGTTCTTCCTCGCCACCTCCTCGCTGATCTGCCCTGGAGGGGGGTCACGGCCACCACGCCGGTTATTTCAGGGCACCATCATGGGGCTGGAGCCCCGGCCTCCTTGGGGTCACAGCACTGGGGTGACCCTCTGGACCCCACCAGCCCCAAAGAGGGGCTCACGCACCATCTCGGACCAGCTCCTCGAGCAGCCCAGCCCACTCGGAGCGGAAGATGTCGGCTCCGGTGAGGCTGCCGTCGCCGCCGATGACGCACAGGTTGGTGATGCCGTGCTCCACCAGGTTGCGGGCGGCGCGGAGCCGGCCCGCCCGCGTGGTGAAGGCCTTGCAGCGGGCACTGCCGATCACCGTCCCGCCCTGGGGACAGAACGGGACACGTGGCTTGTCACACACCTTTGGGGGGGCTGGGATCTGGAGTCCCGTGGCCCCATGGTGGCCCTCACCAGCTGGATGATGTTGGAGACGCTGAGCCAGTTGGCTTGTTTGATGTTGTCACCTCCCTCCACCAGCCCCTCGTAGCCCTGCAGAGAAGCAGAGGGTGGAGGTGAAAGGCACCCTGGCACAGGGGGGGTGGATCCCCCCGGCCATGATGGGGAGCAGGGGGGGAAACCCCAACCTCATAGATGAGGAAGACCTTGGCTCCCACGTATATCCCCATGCGGGTGACGGCGCGGACAGCGGCGTTCATGCCTGGAAAAGTGATTTGTGAGCTGGAGCATTCCCATGGGATCCTGCGCCCCACGGGGGATGGGATCCTACAGGTGACCCTGAGGTGTCCCTTCAAGCGGGGGGAACCCCAGGGGACCCTGCACCCCACAGGGAATGCGATCCGATGGATGACCCTGAGGTGTCCCCTTGAGTGGGCGGGGAGCCACGTGGGCTGAGACCGGGGAAACTCAGCGCACAGCTGGGGACGAGAAACTGCCCGGCAGCGAGCGAGCTGCTTATGCCGGGGGGGACGGGGACGGGGATGGGGACAGGGACGGGCACACCCCCTCGTGGGGCTCCCCCCGTGGGGCCCCTGCCCTCCCACGGCCCGAGGGTGCCGGGGACGGGAAAGCGGGGCGGGCACACGGCAGGGGGGTCCCCATCCGCCCGCCCCGGGAGCAGCGCGGGCCGCGGGCTCCGGCCCCGGGCGGTCGCGATCACGGGCACGGACACGCGGGGACACCGCGGGCCCGGGCCGAGCCCCCCGCCCCGCCGGGCGCACCTTGCGCGTCGCCGCCGCTGGTGAGGACGGCGATGGCCATCCCGGCCCCCGCCATCCGCAGCCGCTCCAGCTCCGCCGCCGCCATCGCTGCGCTCCCGGTGCCGGCGCCGCCGCCGAGGACACGCCCCGGGACACGCACGGACCGGCGACACGCCCCGGGACACGCCCCGGGACACGCACGGACCGGCGACACGCCCCGGGACACGCCCCGACACAGGGGACACGCCCCGGGACACGCCCCGACACAGGGGACACGCCCCGGCCGCCGCCACGGAGCGACAGACGGCGGGACACGTCGCGCCCTGTCGCGGCACGGTGCGCTATTTTATCGTGCGGGACAGTGGGGACATCCTGCGGGAGCTCCGTCGCTGAGTCCTGAAGGATTTGGCTGATGGAGCTGCCCAACCGCTCTCCAGGATATTTAGAAGGTCATGGATGTCCGGTCAAGTCCCAGGTGATTGGAAAAAAACAGAGTTTTTCCTCGTCCCCATCTTCAAAAAGGGTGGAAAGGAGAAGCCTGGGCCCGTCAGCCTCCCCTCTGTGCTCGGGAATATCCCGTGCCAGGCCCTCCTGGAAGCTCTGCTGAGGCAGGGGCAGGGAGGACAGGAGGTGACCCGGGACAGCCAGCACGGCTGCACCAAGGGCAAGTCCTGCCACACCAGCCCAGTGGCCTTCTCTGCTGGGGTCACTCCCTCAGTGGGCAAGGGAAAGGTTATGGATGACATTAATGCCGATTTCTAGACAGCCTGGACACAATCCCACCCAACATCCTTCTCTCTGCTTTGGAGAGAGCTGGGTTCCATGCATGGACTGTCAGATGGATTAGGGATTGGCTGGATGGTCACATCCAGAGGGTCAGTGGCTCACAGTGGCCATCAGTGCCCAGTGGTGTCCCAGGGTCTGTGCTGGGACCAGTGATATTTAAGGTCTCCATCACTGGCACAGAGGGTTGGGGCACCCTCAGCAGGTTGGCAGGTGACACCAGGCTGAGGGTGCAGTGACACTCCTGAAGGACGGGGCCATCCAGAGGGCCCTGGACAAGCTCCAGAAGAACCCATGGGAATCTCCTGAGGTTTAACAGCACCAAGTGCTGCTGCTGCCCCTGGGATCAATCCAGGCTGGGGATGAGCAGAGGGAGCAGCCCCTGGAGAAGGACTTGGGGCTGCAGGTGGTGAGGGCTGGCCATGCCCCATCCTAGGACCCTCCTGTGCAGGGCTGATCCCAGGGTGGGCAGCAGGAAAGGGGTTGGGATTGTGCCCCTCTGCCCTGCTCAGGTGAGACCCCACCTGCAGAGCTGCCCCAGCCCTGGGGCCCAGCACAGGAAGGGCCTGGGGCTGCTGGAGAGAGTCCAGAGGAGGCACCAGGGTGAGCAGAGGGATGGAGCAGCTCTGCTGGGAGGAAAGGCTGGCACAGCTGGGATTGCTCAGCCTGGAGAAGTTTTGGGGTGACCTCAGTGTGGCCCTCCAGTACCTGAAGGAGCCAGCAAGAAACATGGAGAGAGAATATTCCCAAGGGCCCTGACAGAGGGGAATGGCTTCAAACTGCCAGAGGACAGGTTCAGATGGGATACTGGGAAGAAATTCTTGGCTGTGAGGGTGCTGAGGCCCTGGCACAGGGTGCCCAGTGAAGCTGTGGCTGTCCCTGGATCCCTAGAAGTGTCCAAGGCCAGGTTGGACAGGACTTGGAGCCACCTGGGTGTCCCTGCCTATGGAATGGGATGGAATGAGTTGGGCTTTCAGATCCCTGCCCACCCAGAGCATTCCATGCCAGTATTCCATGCCATGGCATGGATGCCATTATGTGCCACCCCAGGCTGTGCCATGCTGTGCTGATGAGACGAGCTGGAGCTTTTAGCAGAAATTTCACATTTTAAAATGTTTAATTTATAATTATTTTGGATGTAATTAAAAAACAAACTCATGGAGGTTTGGTCCTGCCATTGATTTCTCATCCCCACTGCCCATCTCAGCTACCCAGAGTGTCACCTCTTCCCAGGGAGGGGGGTCCTGTTGTTGGATGCCCTCTCCACGGGGGATGGAATCCTATAGGTGACCCTGAGATGTCCCTTTGAGTGGGGGGAACCCCATGGTACCCTGCACCCCTCAGGGAATGGGATCCATATGGGTGCAGTGTGGTGCTGGGAGGCTGCTCCCTCCAATACTCCCCATTCCCTGGCAATGCTCCCCATCACCGTGTCCCCCTGCTCTCCCACATCCCCCAGGGGAGTGGGACAGGGCCCTGCCCATGGGGAAACTGAGTCAGGTGTTGGCAGCTCGCCCAATTCCATCTGTGCCAGGAGGAGCTGGAGCCTCATCCTGCATCCTCAGGCACCGCGGGGCCCGGCACATCCGGCAGGGAAGGGGTGGCTCGGGTTAAGGAAATGGGAGAGACCTGGCCGGAGTCCCGCTCTCCTCCCCCCACAGCCCCACCTCCCCGGCCCGCTTAACATCGCCCGGGACAGCCGCGGGGCCAGCAGCGCCAACAGAGCCCAGCGCGGTGCCGGGGCTGAACTGCGAACCGGGAGAGCAGCGGGGCCACCAGCGTGTCCCCAGCGCGGTGCCGGGGCTGAACTGCGAGCCGGGACAGCAGCGGGGCCACCAGCGTGTCCCCAGCGTGTCCCCAGCGTGTCCCCAGCGCGGTGCCGGGGCTGAACTGCGAGCCGGGACAGCAGCGGGGCCACCAGCGTGTCCCCAGCGCGGTGCCCAGGCTGAACTGCGAGCCGGGACAGCAGCGTGTCCCCAGCGTGTCCCCAGCGTGTCCCCAGCTCGGTTCCCGTCCCCACGATGCTGCGGCTGCTGCTGCTCGGCGGGATCCTGGGCTGCGGGGCTGAGCAGGCAGGTAAGGCTGGTTGGGGACAGCGGGGTTGGCGTGGGGGCACACGGGGCTCACGGCGGGTGACGGTGGCTGATGTCCCGCGTGTCCCGCAGCTCCGCTCGCCTTCACCATGCTCCAGCTGACCCGCGTCTACAAGGGCAATTCCATGTTCCGGGGGAACGCCAGCCTGAATGGGCAGCTCAGCCATGTCCTGGAGGGGAATAATGTCACCCAGGTGCTCCCGCTGGAGCCTGCGGACGCCTGGGCCCGGCGGCAGGACGAGGTGACCACCTACCTGGGGAACTTCAGGAAGCTGGTGATGTTCTTCAACAAGGAGAGACCCACCGATTGTGAGTGGTGCCCGGGGGACGGGATGGGTGCTCTGGGGAATGGGAGCCTCTTCCGTGCTGCCAGGCCCGGGGGTGGCTCTGCAGGGACAGATGGGCAAAGGGATGGGGACACAGCCACGTGCAAAACCTCCCTGTGGGCAAAGGGAGCCCTTCTGTGGAGCCGGGAATTTCTTACCCAGAGCACACCCTGGGCACGGGATGATGCTCAACCTGTTGCTGCTCCTCAGGAAAAGGGCTGGGGGCTGCAGCCTGTGGGGTGGTGAGGTGTAGGAACCCTGTCTGCTCCTGCCTGTGCTCTGCCTCCATCCCACCTGTATCCCACTGGCACCCTGCCTGCATCCCATCTGTATCCCACTGGAACCCTGCCTGCATCCTGCAGCCTGTGGGAGCTGTGCGACGCTGCTGCCGATGGTTTCGTGCTCCTGCTGGCTCTGCCCACAAGCCCTGTCGCTTCTGCTGCTCCTGCCCGAGGTGCTCTTTCCTTTCCTTTCCTTGGTTAGCCCCAAACCGGTTTTGCCCCAGCCCCACGCTCTGTACCCTTGGGGAGCCGGGTGTCACTCCGGAGTCTCAGGCATGACCCGTCCCTCTCCTCCCGGTGTCCCTGTCCCGGTGTCTCGCTCCATCCACAAGAGCCACGAGCAGCTCTGTGCCCAGAGCCTCCCTCTCTGCAGAACCGGAGCTGTGCTGGGTGGGGATAAGGAAAGGAAAATAATCCCGGTCACTGCCATGCTCAAACCGAGGGGAATCAAAGCTGTGGGTGGTGCTGAGGCTGTGCAAACTCCGTGCCCAGTTTGCTGCTGGTGCTCAGACCGAGAGCGTCGTGACCCTGTCCCCTCCCTCTGTCCCCGCAGTCACCCATCACCTGTGCTGCCACCTCGGCTGCCGCCTCTACCCCAACGGCACAGCCCAGAGCTTCTACGAGGTGACCCTCAACAGGACGGCGTTCCTGAGCTTCCACGTCCCCAGCGCCACCTGGGAGCGGCGCTGGCCCGGAGAGCTCCCGGTGGCCGCCTTCGCCCAGCAGCAGCTGATGAAATACCCCATAACCACCCAGGACCTGCAGTATTTCCTCAACACCACCTGTGTCAGCCTCCTGCAGGCTCAGAGCGCCAGGACAGGTCCGTGCTGGGGCCGGGGCTGGGGCTGGGGATGTGGTGGCGTGGCCCAGTTGTCACCTCTGTCCCTCTCGCCTTTTGCAGGAAGAGTCAGCAGCCGATCGCGCACCCCGCTGGTGCTGGGGCTGGTCCTGGGCAGCCTCGGCCTGCTGGGCATGGCCCTGGGCATCTTCCTGTGCACAGGAGGGAGCTGCTAGCGTGGGCAGCTGTCCCATGTCACCCCATGGACACAGGGGATGCACCTGTCATCTCCCTGTGCAGCCATCACCACCCCGTGGAGGCGGGGGACAGACCCATCATCACCCTGAGGAGGCAGGGATGGATCCATCATCCTCCCAAGGATCCAGCAACTCTCCAGGGATCCATCATCACCCTGAGGAGGCAGGGATGGATCCATCATCTTCCCAAGGATCCAGGAACTCTCCATGGATCCATCATCACCCTGGGGAGGCAGGGATGGATCCATCATCCTCCCAAGGATCCAGCAACTCTCCATGGATCCATCATCACCCTGGGGAGGCAGGGATGGATCCATCATCTTCCCAAGGGTCCAGCAACTCTCCATGGATCCATCATCACCCTGGGGAGGCAGGGATGGATCCATCATCACCCCAAGGATCCAGGAACTCTCCATGGATCCATCATCACCCTGAGGAGGCAGGGATGGATCCATCATCCCTGCATAGAGACAGAGGGGGATGAAAGCCCATCAGGGGACCAAGCCCATCCCTCACAAGGGATGCATGTCCCCAGTGCCACCAGGCTTTGCTCCCCAAGGACACTGGTGGCTTCCCAGTCCTGTCCCAGCTGGGCTGACTGCTCCAGCAGCCCCCAGCCCTGTGGACAGCCCTCACTTAAGGCAATGCACTGAGGCTCCACACAGAAACACTGGGCATGGATGGGAAAATGGGGGGGGAGAGGAGTGGGGGGGAAAGCAGCAGGAGAAACAGCCATGGAGTGGTTAAAAGGATGGTGTTAAACCCTCGTTCATCCCTGTTCCAGAGGAGATGGAGGGAGGATGTCACACCTTGTGTAATAAAACCACCCATCAGCTCCCACCACGCCTCTGGCTGCTCTTATTCCCCTTGGCAGCACCGATGTGGGGCTGTGGATCCATCCTGGCCCATGGCTGCTGGTGCTGGGTGGGCTCGCTGGTGTTGCCAGCCCCTGTGCCAGACCTTGGGTTGTGTGCTAAGTTTTCCAGGTCTCTGGAAAGACACTGGTGGTGTTTGCACTTCCTGAACTCATTTCAACCCTCTCCCAGCTTTGGTCTGACTCAACTGAGTAATTTTCTCAATGTTTTTCATTACCTTGCTCAGTGTAAGATGCTGAGGTCAAGTATACACAGCTGTGAGGGGACAGCTTTCCACAATCCAAATCTGAGCTAAAACCTCCACTCTGCCTGTTTAAACTTTGATTGTGTCGATAAGAAACTCTTGGCCACGTTTCCCTTTCACCCAAAAGTGGATTTTGAGCTCTCCTGTGCATCTCCACTGCTCTGGCAGCAGGAAGGGAGCCAGGAGATGGCTGGGGACAGGAGAGAGGCTTTCCTGGATTAGCTTCCAGCTCTTTTTTTTCTAAACACCCTGCGAGCAAGAGAGGGTGGGATGAGGGAAGATGGGAAAAGAGACGAGGGACAGAAGAGATGCAAAGATGACCTTAGGGGTTGTCCTCATGGAGGGATAGAGGAGGAGGAGGTCTCCAAAGGCCACATCTCATCACCCTGGCCCCCAGCCACCCCTGGAGCAGCCCACACCTCCCCCAGGCTCCTGGGGCAGGGGCTGGGGCGCTCCCCACCCTTGGCGGGCTCCGAGAGGCCGGAGAATCCAAAACAACACGGCCGAGGTCTGGAACGTCACGGCTCAGCCCTTGGAGCAGCGCCCTTGGCAGGAGCTCTGCTGTGGGCTGAGTGCTCCAGGGCCATCCAGGGACACCAGGGCAGTGCCCAAGGTCACACGTGCTGCATCTGCTGTCTGCAAAGGGATTCAATCCCTTCCAGCTGGGACAAACTGCTGCATTCCCAGCTCTGCTTTGAGTTTCAGACTCGGGACATCTCTGCTACCTGCAGATGTTGCACTGTGGTCCCCAAGACTTGGAGTGATTCCTGATCTCAGTCCCCTCTCCCTGGGCTGCAGCTCCTTGCTCTGGCTGGGATGGCTGAGTGTAGGTGCTGTGGGATGCCCGTGGCTGTGATGGACTGGAGATGGCACCCGGGACTGACAGACCCAGGTGGCAAACACTGGGGGGGAGGCCTGGAACAGCAGAACTTGCTTTGCTCCAGAAATGTGTCATCTTTTGGACAGATGAGCAAGTCTGAGCTTGTCCACTTCACACAGCTCCAGAAAAGGCTTTTTCCTGTGTGTGTCTGGAGAACGCTCCAGAACGGAGCTGTCTCTGCTGCTGCTCTTGAGTTTCCACAAGGGACTGGGCAGTGGGGATCCCCTAAAAGTGCAGAACCCCAAGGAACAGCCTCATCTCCATTGGTGTCCATGGGCAATGCACCCAACCTGGCACCTCCATCCCAAGGCACCTCCCTGGAGGTGACATCAGTGTCCGTCCTGGATGTGGTGACCAGCAGCAAAGGGTTATGATGGCAGCATCCACCTCCAACACATCCAAAAATTTCTCTTCCTCTCCCCAAAACCCTCAAGTGTCTCGTGGTAAGGCCTGGCTGGGTGTGGCAGCTGGGGGACAGTAGCCCAGCTGCCTCAGAACTGGGAGCTGGGCTCCTGTTCCAGCACCACTCCAACACAGATTCCTGGCAGCCAGCAGCCACATGCACGGCTCACCCTTTCCCAAATTTGGTTGCTCTTCCGCTCCGATCACAGCTCGGGATGGGCGCCAGTGCGTATCCCATCAGCGAGGGGTGGTTTCAATTTTCTCCTTGGAGGACTTCTGTGCTGTGCAGGAGGGTGAATGAACCTGCATGGAAGCCTCTGGCAGCTTTAACCAGCTCCCAGAGTGACCCATCCCTGTTATCTGCAGGGATTGCCAGGCAAGGCTTTGTTTTCCATGCGTGGTTTCCATCAGCCCGCTCTGCTGCTGCTGTCTTGGATAAGGCTCAGATAATCTGCCCTAGCCTTGATCCAACAAGTGATCCTCACTTGTTCCAGTGAGGCAATGTCCTTGTGCACCAGCTCCTTCCTTCACCCATCCCATGGGGAACTTGGATAGGATGGGCAGGTCACCCCATTTCCTTTAGGACATCAACTCCCTCTGCAAGGCCGGTATCTCCACCCGTGTCCTTTGGGAGCTGCTGTGCCTCAGGACAAAGGGCTGGATGGCTCCAGGAGCTGCCTAAAACCAGTGATGGATGGGCTCTGTTGCCTGCTGGGGTGGGAGGGGGGAAGAAAGTGGGGCTGATGGGATCCATCTGGAAGGAAGCGGGACTATCCCTGTAAAGACCTCTTACGCACTCGGTGCCTGCACTGGTGTCATTGTGGCTTTTCAGGACTAAACAAACCCCATCCTTCCAAATTCTCAGAGGTCACGGTGTCACAGCCACAGATGTTTTAATTCCTGACTTTGGGACATGCTTGTTAACACCAGGGACTGCACTGGGGGCGAGGGGATTTGCTTCCCAGCAGCCTCCTGCTCCCACATGGAAAGGAGCAGCTCCCTGGAGAAGCCTCTCGGCACAGGGAAGGGCCGTGCTGGCCACTCCCTCCTCGCGGTGCCCAGCGCTGCCCTCCTCCCTTCCCGCTCACCTCCCAGGTCAGCAGGAGGAAAGGGGAGAAGAGAGCCGGCTGCTGGCCAGGAGCAGGGATAGGTGGCAGCGGTACCACCCATCCCACACCTCTGCCCTGCCCCTGGGGGCTGCTCCGGAGCAGGCCAGGCTGCTCCACCAGCTCCTGCAATGCAGGCGAGCAGGGATGGGATGGGGACTCCTGGCTGGGAATCACAGTCAAGATTCCGGCGAAAAATCATTGCTTCACCTTCTTTCCCAGCTGGAGGTTCCCACTCCAAACAGAATAAACTTCTCCTGGCACCAGTCCCTTCTCCCTTCTTCCTCCACTGCCCAGCCCTGGAGCAGAAAGGTTCAGAAGGAGATAAAGATATGAATAAACAAGATTTTTCTTTGGAAAAGCCCAAGCTTGCGTGCACTGTGCATTCAGAGACGTTTCCCTGGGAAAATGGCTGTTTGGGAACACTTTCACCCACTTGCCAGAGTTGGGGGCAGCCTTCAGTGTGACTGAGGCCATTGGGAGCAAAGCTCTCCTCCCAAGACCCCCACACCAGCTCCTTGGAGCAGCCCCAGAACTTCACCCTCCAGTCTGGGATAGGGAATGTGGCTCTAGGTGCAGCCAGCCCAGGCTGTGGAGGGACAGAAAACACAGACAAGGCTGCAGGGCATGATGGATCTGAGCCCTGTATTCCCTCCCATCATCAACCTGCTATGGAATTCTCATCCCATCTGCTCTTTCCCCTCCCCTGGGATGGGAGGGATACAGCCAAAGGGTGGGAACACAGCTGATGGAGGTGATGACATCTAAAAGCCAGCCTGTGGTGAGGCCCTGAAAGAACACACACAGCCCCTGGAGGTGCTGAAAACCATTCCCTTCAGGAATAAACCAGGACCCCATTTCAGCCAGGCCTTCCCAAAGCAGCAGGGACTTCTGGGAGTGCATTCCAAGAACAAGTGAAGATTTGAACAAGAAGATTTGATTTTTTGAACTAGAAGGTTTGAACAAGATACCTTCATCTGAGCCCTCACAATCCTCACCGTTCCAAGGATTTAGGTAAAAAGAGGCCCAGGAAATTTGTGTTTATTTGTTCCAGTTTGGGAATGGCATTGCTTAGAAAGGACTGGAAATTGAAGCTGTGCATTACAGAATTCCCAGCCTGGATGTTCAGTCAGGATCCTTGTTTGGTGCCAGACCAAGGTGTGAACACCTAAACCTCGTGGGAAGCATTTCTATGGATAAAGGAATCCATGTGTGCCATAATTTGCTTCCACCAGCTCCATGTCACAGGAAAAGGGGACAGGGAATGCCATGGACACCCAGCACACTCTGCACCCCCAGTCCTTGGAGGACAAATATTTCACGATCCTAAAACAAGCACACTGTCAGTGGGCCAGAACCAAAACCACTGGGAAAGTTTGAGCAAGCACTGCTGTTGCTGCTGGGCAAAAGCATGGAACCCTGGAAGCTTTGTCTGGAGGTGGGAAAGGTGTTGGAAGCTGGTTCTGAACACA